AAAGCATGTGAAGAAACAACCCACAGCCAGGGAGATGGTATAAAATAGAAAGGATTTAGATCCAGAATAAACTTAAAAGCTAGAGAGCCTCTGCACTCAAAGAAAAGAAGGGACCAAAAGAAATTTAAGGGCGGACAAAGGATTCGAACAGACATTTCTCTAGAGACGGTATAAAAATGGCCCACTAGCTTGTGAAAAGTTACTCTGCATCATTAGCCATTAGATAAATGCACTTCGAAGCCACGATGGGCTAGCATAGCTCTCTTACTAGGATGGCTATAATAAAAAAAGAGACAGTGAGCCTGGTGACGTGGATATGGGGAAATCAGAAACTTCACACACCCCTGGTGGGAGTGTAAAATGAGGTGGCATTTTGCACAACGGTTCAACGTTTCAGTTCAGAAATGTTAAACACGGTGTTTCTACAGCGTCCGTGTCATGGCTTGAAGATGAAATGTCCTCACAGGCTCGTACGTTAAAGCTTTAGGTCCCAGGAGGTAGCACTATTTTGGGAGGCCCTGGGAACTTGATGAGGTAGGTCTCTCCGCTGGAGGAAGTAGATCAACAGAGATGAGTCCTGTTGGGGGTGAGCAACAGGGGGTAGCTTGCTGGTGCACTTCTCTTATTCCCATCCTTATTACTTATTATTTCTTTCTTTCGGGTCTTGTTTCTGCATGTGTATCTACATGGTAATAGTGCATGTGTATGTGTATGGACACGGGGGGGGGGGGTGTGCACGTGTGCAGGGACACACGAGGGGGGGGGTGTGCACGTGTGCATGGACACACGAAAGCTTGAAGTTAACATCGTCTTCCTCAATCACTTTCCACTTCATTTACTGACCCACTGGCCCTGCAGATTTCCCCTGTCTCTACCTCCCGGAACCTGGAATTACATGCTTGCCTGCTTTGTTGTTGTTTGTTTGTTTTAAGAACCCAAACCCTGCTTCTCATGTGTGCATGGAAATCACTTGGCCAACTGAGCCATCTCCCCAGGGTCGCTCTCCCTTCTCTCTGCTTTCTGCCTGCCACATGTTCCTGGCACCCAGATATTGCACAAGTACGTGGGCGCAAGCAACCACGGGCTGAGCCTTTTGAGACTATGAGCCACAATGGATCTTTTCTTAAATTTCTTTCTATTGTATATACATAGCAACGATAAAAGTAACTAACACAGCTCAGCAAACATACTCCTTGGTATCTGTCCAAGAGAAACAAAAGCTTAAGCACATGCTTACTCACACGCGTGTACACACACTCACAGAGACATACACACTACCACCAACAACCCTGTACGCCAATGTCCATGACCATATTGTTCAAGCTAGTTTAAAAGTGCCTGTGTTACGGACCTGCAATCTCAGCTACTGATGCAGGAGGGCTCTAAGTTCAAAGTCAGCCTAGGACATAGAGTGAATGCAAGACCAGATGGAAATTTTTTAAAAAGGATTTTTTTTTTAATGCTGGGGATATAGCTCAATGGTGGAACACTTGCCTGGCTTGTGTGAGACTACAGGTTCAATCTTCAGTGTTGCAGCAAAAAACTCCAAAACAGACAAACAAGTAGAACAATTCAAACTTTTATCAACTGATTCAAAGATAATGATTTGTCTTGTATCGATGCAGTAGAATATTATTTAGACTTAAAAGGAATAGGCGTAGTAATAGTCTACAACATGGACTCACCTGAAAGGTATTGCACTAAGTGAAAGAAGCCAGTCACGACAGGCCATGTACTACATGATTCTATTTGTATGAAATGCCAGGGGGCGGGGAATCCTCAGAGCTGGAAAGTACATGGTGGTTGCCTATGGCTAAAATACACAATGTTTCTTTTTTTGGGGGGGAATATATGACAAAAATGTTGCAAAAGCAGATTATGACTATGTAAACACACTACATATATGTAAACACACTAAAATTCATCAAATTACACATTTTAAGTGGGTGAATTTTCTGCTATGTTACGATATAGCTTAATTGTGTTTTTAAGAAGACTGAAAGAAGTGAGAGAAATCAGAGGTGTTAAGTATAGATGGGTCCGAGGAATTCCTTGAACCATTAAAGGTTTTCCAAAAGATTAGAAGTATACAGTTATATTATTGTAGCCAAGAAGGAGGTTTCCCAGACTGGGTACAGGGAAGGTGAGCTCCCTGGGCCACTTTTCTGTGTCTCCAAGTGGATGGATGGATGGTCTGCTCAGTTCCCTGCTTTATCCCTGCCCCCTGCAACCCCCTTAGCTTTAACCACAGCACCTGCACCACAAGGATCTGCAGATTAAGTTTAGTGGTCATTTCTGCTTTTTCTTTTCTGTCCATTTTCTGTTTGCATTGTCACTAGAAACAATGGAAAATAACCTCTAGTCTTCTTATTAAAGAAATAAAGAGTGGTGTCTGTGAAGTGGGCTGGACCACCAAGCCCCCAGGGAAACCGAGGCATCCAGCGGCATTTCTGTAGACAGGGAAGAGACGGATAAATAAGCCTACCATAAAAGCCTGAAACTTTGCCCACTCTCCTCAGGCCAAAGTCAGGCTCTTGTGTGGACACTGCCAAGGAAGCTGACTATTATCCACTCCTTTGATGAAAAGTGCTTGGGTTTCTTCTCTGAAATTCTCTGCTGTTTCCACCTGCCAAACAAGTGTGATTCCCAACAATCACCGAATCACAGACCTCTGGTAATCACAAAGTGTCCCCTGGCCATCAGAGACTGACTCTGTGAGCCATGGAGAGAGAGGTCTCTATGACCAGAACCTGCCCTGCCTCCACAGAGGGAGGAAATGCTGTGAAACCACATTACTGAGACCAAAGTCTCCAGTCCCTTTCCCTAAGGGGCTGGACATTCCTGGCTTTTGTCTTCCTCTTGAAATGAGACATTTGAGAGTTATGGAAAAGTACAAGACAGTATCACAAGCCGCCGTGGAGAAGGTGCCAAGGGGCTCATCCTGATAGGGGCCCAACCCTGAGCAGACTTTTTTCCTGCTTCCCCTTTGCCTTGGCACAGTAGATCACACACAGCAGGGGCTCCCACTGTGTCCTAGCCCAGTCACTATTCCCAGTAGGGCACCGATAACAGAAGAAAGGGACTGTTACTGTTAGGTGGAGGCCCTTTCTCATCCTCCAAAAAAAAAACAAAAACAAAACAAAACAAGAAAACATGATAGTTTCAACTCCTCATCTGGGCCTTCCAGTTCTCAAGAACATTTATTGTGTCCTCCCCTTAGCTCTCCTATCTGCCCAGACTCATCGCTTTAATCCCCCTCGTCCTCTCACCCCTGCACAAGGAGTCCAGAAAGACAACAACAAGGTGGCCATGGCTTCCTCTGAGGTGCTCTGTCCACTGAGGCTCTTCCACCACTCACCAGAGCTTCAACCACTGGGATTCCCTTGCTTTGACTTCTGGCTCTGGCTTCTCAGGACAGTTTGGTCGTCTGTCAAGCCTCAACTGTGGCATTGGCCCATTAAAAAGACAGGAGGCCTACCTCCCCCAGACAGAGCACACCTGATCATTCTGCCACGTTCTTGTAGACGGGTTTCAAGACCCGTCTTTATTCTTGTCTTTCCTCTCCTGGAAGGTCATCCATCAGCATTCCTTCATTCATCCCAGCCTGTCACATGGAGGCTCAAAGAGAATCTGAGGTCTGACAGCCCAGGCTTTGAGACTTCAGAGAAGTCTTTGTGCCTCTGAGGACCCATTTCCTCATCTATAGATGTAGGAACCACAGCTTTGTCACAATAATAAGTGAAATATTGTCATTAAGTACTCACCAGGGTGCAGTGAGAATTCTGGAATTTTGGTTTCTTTAAAAAAATGGTTCCATTGGTGTGGGGATATGGGGCTGCTTTGGACTGTCCAAAGCAGCTGATATGATTTGCCTTGTGCGCTAACAAAGACATGGTTTTGCCAGCCACCAATAGTTTCAGCGATTGAGTGACGTTTAGAATTCTGGACATTTTTTAAGAGGATATATAAATGCTAGATCCCCGATAGGTGTTGTGGGTGGTTGGTCATTCATGGGGGCTGGTTGTGGTTTATTAGTAGTCATGCTCAAAAAAGATACAAGAAGAAAAAAATTAGACTCAGAAATCTCTCTCTCTCCCTTCTATCCTTCTTTCTCTCCTATCTAATAATGGGGGGGGGAGTGTGGGGGAGGGATAAAGGATGGAAAAAACAAACCCACAAAGTAGCAAAGTCTAGCTGCGCTTTGGAGACTTAAACATTTGCCATTAGTTTTCAGTTCATTTTAAAGTTTTCAACCATCCATTCATCTATCTATCCATCCATCCACCTATCAAAACATCCATCTATTTATTCTTGGTGTACTTAGTGGTCTTCATGCCAGGTACTGGGGACTAAGTCTTCTAAGAGGAAAGCCACTTAGACCCAGGAGGAACAGAGCAGAGAACTGAGGCATGTCTCCACAGCATAGTGAAGTGCTGGGGGCTGCCCAGTGACAGTGACATCGAGTCCACCTTTCCATGGTCTTTAACTACCATTAGGACTCTGTGCTAAGGTGGGCACCACAAGAAGGAAGGCACATGACAGATGGGAAGTGAGAGGGTCCTGGGGAAAAACCCCTGTTCCTCTCTGCTTCTCGGTTATAGAAAGTGGTCATGCCTTGGCTGTCCAGGAGGGCGATGCCCTTCAGGGAGGCCTTGTTGAATCTGTCTGGGACTGTTCCGGAAGGAGGAAGGGCGGGTGGGGCGGGGAGACAGTTGGAATGTTCTGGCCTGCTGTTCAGTGCAGCCAGCCTGCAAGAGAGGAGGGCCTCTGGACATCAAAGGTTCCTTTTGTCCCTTTCCGAGTGGCAGGGCAGCCGGGCCACTGGCTATGACTCAGGCCTGGCCCTGACGTCACCCACGCCCTGCCACTGGCCTCGGTTTGCATCCAGGAACCTGGCCAGGGAGTGGTTCTCATAGCGGCAGCAAATCTCAAAACGAGAGGTCACTGCTGTGTTCTCTCCATCTCCCCACAACCCACCTCAATTTTCTTCTTTTTTTAAGCCTTGAAGAGGGCTTCCCTTGTAGACCACTTTCCAAATGTAAGCAGTCAGATTGAGTGACATCATGAGAGAATTATGTGGAGCAGATCTCAACCAGGAGTTGAGGAATCCAGAGGAAGAATGTGGTGGTAGCTCCTGAGCCCAGGGAGCTGGCAGCGTGTGGGCTTCCGAGGAGCCAGCACCTCTGAGTAAGTGAAGGCCTACCCTTAGCCCCTCAGTTAAGGCCCAACACTGCTGGCCGCCATCTTTCTTCTGAGAGGTAGGCCTAATGGGCCCAACACAGAGCGGGGAGTGGGGACAGCCTTTGGGACACCCTCTAAATACAGCCTCAGAGGGGCCTGCTCTCTCTCTTTCCCACAGAGCCAAACAAGACGCATAAACAAAAGCTACTCAGAGGGAAACCCTGGGTTCAGGCTTCTTGTCTTTTTTCCCAACCTGAGCCCTGTTTCAAGAAGGCCAAAATATTTGTTTGGGGTTCTAAATTGCTTGATTCTTAGATCTTCTATGGCATGATCAGACTTAAAAACAAGCCCATTCTAGGTAAACATATCAGTCAAGAAGCATTTTCACACTTTGGGGGTTTGGGAGGAGAAGGAACCCTCACAGGAAAGGGTTCACAGCCTGTCTTGAGAGCCCATATTCATTATCTCATGGCTGTCCTGTTTACAGTTTTCACTTACATAGGCTGCTGCAGGAACGTTAAGCACAGAGGCGAAACATTGTTTTAATTTCATCTAAAAACTCCTAGGTTTTTTGCATAACCTGTCATTTATGAATTCTGAAAGTTTCTACTCAAGAAATTTCCATTTCTGGGAAAAAGCTTTTTTTTTTTCCCCACATGCGTGAGAGCTGCAAAGCAGACAGGCCTAGAGATGTATCTCTCTCCTGTCTTCTCAACTTTCAAAACCTCTTGAGTGAGGTTCTATTTTCTGTGCATTTTCCTCAGCACAGTAAGTCTGCTCTTCATACACTAATGTGGTTGCTGGTATTTTAAAAAACGGGTCTTACTTTTAGGCAATACGGAAGTTTGTCATTTAGTGGGAAACACAAATTCTGTTGTGAACAAATGGCCTTTGAGATTAAGTATCACACTTTGGTATATGTTTTTTGGGTCTTGTGTTTTACCTTTTAAATATAATTTTACAGACTGGGCTGTCTTCAAGTGAGGCTATCCCAGCGTACTGTTCCTCTGGCTGAAAGACTGGGTGCTGTGTGACAAATACTTCGGTGAGTGTGTCGTTTGTTTCTGGTGAGTCCCTACATTTAAGTCTGTAATTCTACTTCTCATTTTTATTTTTTTTTAAGTTTTAGAATAAGAAAGGGTACACGCCACAGATAACTCTGCACACAATGACAACAGCTGCGTGAGAGGGGACACACGGCACAACAGACTAATTGCTATCATAGATCCCCAAATCTATATTGGGTCAAACACACTAGTGTTTACCTCTTGGTAATGTGACAATGCAGCTTAGTTGGGGCTAATTCTTTTTCCCGAGTTCATGCAGGTTCCAGGCCGGGCATGTAGTTCAAAGGGAGACTCCTTGCCCGATGTGCCAAAGCCTCGTGGTTTGATCCCCAACAATCACTGACAAAAACAAAAGCTTCCAAGTTTGAAGGAGGCACTGCTGTGCAGTCTTCAAAAGTCACCAGGGCGCATCTTTGCTCCTCAGCAGAAGAAGCAAAGAAAGTGTCCGAGGGTGCTTCTTCTGGGTAGAAGCGGCGCACTTCACTTCTCCTCACATTCCACTGGCTAACACCCAGACACGTGACTGTAGCTAACTGCCGAGCACTTCCCACAGGCCACTGTGGAGAATTTCTGGGTAAAAGGTAATTTTCTTCAGCAATGAATGTAAAAACTTGGAAATGCTCCGATAGAAAGCTGTAGAGTGTGTGTGGGGATGGGGGGTGCCTTAGAAGATGGGCTGGATTTGTCTTTGCAGAGGACCCAGTTTAGTTTCCCAGCACACACATAGGAGTTCGCAACTATCTGTAACTCTAGTTGAAAAGCATCCAACTCCTTCTCCTGGCCTCCTTGGTGCACAAACATACTTCCAGGCAAATAAATGCACAGACATAAAGCAGAAATAAGCATCTTTAAAAAATTAGGATGCCAGCCCTATAGGTGCATACCTGTAAGCCCACATAGGAGACCGAGACAAGAGGGTGGCTCATGAGTTCAAAGCCAATGGTCTGTATCATGACTTCCAGGGCTGCATAACAAGATCCCATCTCAAAACAACTGCGACAAATGATGGGATATGTAGAATTCCCTAACGGACACTCATGGGCTTTATCTGGCCATGTAGGCGGAGAACAGTGAGAGCAATTCCCAAGATGCCTCTGTCCATTCTAATCTTAAGACTTGAGGTAGACATATCCCGGCTGCCAGTGGCCAGTGAAACTGGAAGGGCATCTACCCGTTATTTTTCCTTCCTCCGTTCGCTTGTTCTAAGTCTTTTCTGGCTTTGTTCCTTATGTATTCTTGAGTCAAGCAAATTGGAGGGAATTTCTCAATGAGATTCTATTCCCACAACCACGCACTGCAGGAATCTATAGGAACGTACGTTCCTGTAGTCCTGAGCTCATAATTCTGCCTGGTCCTGGGGACTTTGGGAGACCACTTTACCCCATCTGTGTACCAGATGCTGCGATGCTCTTCTAAGAGACCTTAAAATAAAAGTATTAGAAAAATATTTTGACATAGACTAAAAGACTTGAGCAGGAACATTAATAATAACCTCCCCAACCCCTGCCAAAATATATTTAAAAAAAAAAAAGAAATTATATCTGATGTACAAGTTCAGCTTTTTCTTTTTAGAAAAAGTCTCATTTATTCAAATAATGAGAGGTAAAGGTATGATCTCTCTTTGGGATAGCTCATTTCATAATCTGTGTAGAAAAGTAACGGTTGGTCTTTGTACAATTTCTCTTCTCACTGGTAAATGTCAGGCGAGGACTCCAGTAAATTCCCTGCCTGAGCTGCACAGTGCATAGTTCTCTAGTTTTGTGGTCAGTATCTGTCAAAACAGATTAAATGTTGCCCCCGGACTTGGTATTCCTGGCTTCCACATCCCCACCCGGAAGAGTGAGCATTGTCCATTGTGTGGGAAGATCTGTTTCTGGCCAGTTAGATCGCTAGTCCCTTGACATCAGGAGTGGACTGAATAAATAACAAGCTGATTTTTTTCCCCCTCAGAAATATCTGTACCTCGGAAAGTTCACTTTCCCAGGTTGCTGAGGACTAAGAAAGTACGGGGCTGGCTGAGATGATGAGAGAGTCAAGAGTGAGATACGATGATTGTAGGGGCGTATCTCCTGCTGGAAGCAGCACCCGAAGGGGTATGTTGCAAATAAGCACAAAGTTTCAAAAGTCCCAACCTAACAGAGCCAAAGGCCACAGTCAGAAAGAACTGTGTCATGGTCCACCCACTCAGGAGATGGGCTGTGTCAGTTACTTCCGCACACTGTGACAGAACACCTGGCGGGGTGACTAAAGGAGGGGACATTTATTTTGGCTCACGGTTCCGGAGGATTCACACCATGGTTACTGTGCTCTGCACATCATGGCAGCAGCGTGTGGTGGAGATTCTTGTTGTAGACGGGGAACAGAAAGAGATCTATGAAGGGACCAGGGTAAAACATGGCTGTGAGGACATGCCAACACTGACACCTCCTGGTATTATCACTGACTGGGGTCCATGGTGTACAACCTGGGAGCCCATGTGGGAACATTTCATGTTCAAGCCGTAACACTGACTGATCATGGTTTCTTAATTTCAGCTGCCATCTGATATGATCCCCTCAGTGCACATAGCATGCCAAATTGATACCAGAGTCATTTCTGACATTTCTAGCTACATTGTGAGACCAGGGGAGGTACGCGACCTGGTCAAGTCACCAGAATTTCACTACTGTAGACATGTAGTATCCGAGAGAAAGCCACAGATCCTCATGACCACTGACATTGTTAGGACCGCAGGTAGGCTGACCCCAGAGATGGCACCAGCAAGGCGGGGCTGTGTACAGGCACAAATATGAAACATCTCATATCTTAATATTAGATATTTTAAAATAGTATCAAAATAAATCTCACAGGAAAAAAAAAAGACTCTCAAAAGTTCGTTTCACTTTAATCTCATAGTTTATTATTTATCATTTTAATTACACGTTGAGCTGTGTAATTCACTTTGGAGACACCACGACAGTCTGTGCAGAGTCAGGGCACCTGAAGATGTTTGCCTGACACGCTGAACACAGCAGCCTCACATGGGTAACAGCTGGGCCAGCTGTTTATTTGGACCTCAGGGCCTTTACAGCTCTCAGAGCACAAAAGCACTAGCTCCCTTCTTCCCGGCTCAGCGCTATGAATGCCCTGTTACCCTGTTTCGAGAATTTTGCAACAAGCCCACGTCATATTTACGAAAGCTAAGAATTCATAGTAATTGGGCTTTGTCACTTCTCACACTGAAATCCCCTAGTTCTCGTCAAGAATCAATTTGGAAAACACCACATAAAAGAGTTTGGGTTTTGGTTTTGACCCAAGAAGCCTCTGGCTTTTACCAGAAATTTAAAGTTGCTTCCCACCTCCAAAATAGTGGCTGTTCAAGTGAGCAAGGTTCTATGCGCAGAATGGTTTGGGTAATGCCGGAAGGTGAAAGCTGAGTCAGTGTTGATGTCTCTGCTTTGGACACTGCTATGAAGTAGTGCTGTTTTGAAAAAAAGAGTTTCTCTCTGAATCACCTTTCCTTTGTGATCCTTAGCAGCACACCTAACCAAAGCATGAGGTATAACCATTTTAGCGCTCCTTGATAAGGTCTGATTGTGGATCAGATGCCCAAAAGGCTGCCAGAATCACTAAAAATCTTTGAAAATGGTTGATTCTTCTCTGTGCCAAAAGATGATTTCTGGCATCCTAGAGACTCAGCTATTGGAACAAGGTGGCTAGATTCCTACTCCATGGAAGTGCTGTTAGTCACTTTTCTGTCGCTGTGATAAAATACTCTGACAAATGATACTTAAGGGAGAAAGGATTTATTTTTGGCTCGTAGTCTGGGATAGTCCGATGTGGTAGGAAAGTCACTGTGTCAACAGCAGAGCAGCCGGACATGGCACATTCACGAGCAGGAAGCAGAGAGTAATGAGTGTGCATATTCAACCAGTTACAGGATCCCCACTCAGGAAATGCCCCTGCCCGCAGTGAGGATGGATCTTCCCACAGGAATGAACTTAATCAAGCTAAATTCTATCACAGACATTCTCAGAGGCTAACTTTTAAATAATCATTTCTCACAGGTATCCCAGAAGGCTTGACTCCTAAATGATTCTAGAGCCTGCCATGTTGACACTGAACACTGACCATGTTAGATGCATTGACCTTGGCCTGTCTTCCTAAGCTACGTGTGAGAGTGCAGCCAGTCTGTCTGGTGTGATGGGGTTCACCCTTCTATCCGGAATCTCACAGGCTATCCTCCTGAATCACAGGAGGAAGAAAGAAGCCAGTGAAAAGGCCTTTCTCATTGACCAAACTTTCTTGGCATCTACTATACCAAGATTGCCTTGCAGAAGAAGTAGATTGAGATTCCCCCAGGGATGGGTTACATCCTCTATCAACAGCTGCGCCATGCTTAGCTGGGCTTTCAACTTCATTACAACACCTCTCTTCCTTTTCCCATTCTATATAAGACACATCCCTTTGGAGTCTGTTGTTGTCTTAGTTTTGGTTTTTGTTGTCGCTGCTTTTATCCCCTCTTAACATTGTTTTGTAAACATCTTCGCAATTCATTGTATGTTCTTTGAAATTCAACATCATTTTTAATGAATATTTTCCTTACATAGGCATATTTTTATTTAGCCCTTTTAAAAAAGGGATATTTTGATTGCCTCTCGTGCCCCACTGTTACCAATATGTAAACACTCATGTAGGTGTTTATGGACACTTTGTGGGGGAATTTAAGAAAAATTCCCAGAAATTGAAGTGTAACATTGAACGATCTGGTTTCAAAGTTACCAATTGGCAAACGCTGTTCCAAAAAAGGCATGGGTGTCTATTTCAGAATCTGGTCCCCTTCAGTTTCTCACATTGAAAATGCATGCTCATGGGTCTCAGTGACATCAGAAGTTTGACAGCAGTCCCAGAAGTTTTAGATTTAACCATCACTCAATGGACTGAGCAGCACCTACAATCTTTCAAATATCAGGAATATACATTTTAATGCCCTTCCTAG